GAGAACAGGCATGTTCACGGGACAGGCAGTACCCAACAAATCCAAGTATCTGCACCATTATCTTCAAATGTCCCCTTCTTAGAAGTACAAGTGCAAAATCATGCATGAAGACAGCATTTGTTATAATATTTCTAATACTAACTTTAAACATAAATCATTCAATAAAGTGTTGTAGGATATTTATTTACACGGTGTGAGATGTGTTACTATGACTGGTTTAATAAAGAGCTGAATGGCCGATAGCTAGGCAGGAGATCATAAGTGGGACTTCTGGGCAGAGAGAGGAATTTGGGATGGATCTAGGCACATGAGAGACACCAGTGAGACACTGAAGGGGTCGTACATATGGTACAGAGAAGAGGTAACCAAGCCACGTGGCAGAACGCAGTAGGTTAATTAAAGTTTTAGAGCTAGCTGGGAAAAAGCCTAAGCTAAGGCCAAGTTTTTAATTACTAACAAGTCTCCATGTTGGTATTTGCGAACTGCCAGCCCAAAGGAAAGTACGACTACAATAGAGGACTGCTTGATAAAACCTGAACATTCAGACCAGGAAATGCTGAGTGCAGTAAAAAGAGGAAGGCTGCCACCTGCATACTGAACTGTGAGTCTCTCCAGAATATAATGCTATAGAAAAAAGTAATATGATTTCCAGAGGTTTCCTTTTTTAAATAATTTATTTATTTTATGTACATTGGTGTGAAGGCATCAGATCCTGGAACCAAAGTTACAGACAGTTGTTAGCTGTCATGTGGTTGCTGGGAATTGAACCTGGGTTCTCTGGAAGAATACTCAGTGCTCTTAACTGCTGAGCCATCTCTCCAGTCCCCCTCAGAGGTTTCCAAGATGGTCATCTGGCACCTTTGTTTCTGGCCTGTGCATGGTGAGGCTGAACATCTGATGGAGAGCATGGGGTGCACCAAGGTGGCTCACAAGAGGCAGAGAAAATGAGAAAGAAAGGCATAGGAACAAGATATACCCTTCAAAGGCACGTCCCTAGCCACCCAACTTCCTACAGCTAGGTTCCATTTCCAAATAATACAAACAGTTATGGAATAATCAATGGATTAGCTCATTGAGAAAGTAGGACACATAATCAAATCACCTTTCTAGGGCAGGAGAGATAGCCCAGTCATTAAGAAGAGCACTGACCGCTCTTCCAGAGGACCTGGGTTCAATTCCCAGCACCCACATGGCAGCTCACAACTGTAACTCCAGTTCCTGGGTACCTGAAATACATGGCAAAACACTAATGCACATAAATTTAAATAAGTAAAAAAAAATCACCTTTCTGCATTACCATCAGCTGGGGTTCAAGCCTTTAACAAATGAGCCTTTTTTTGGGAGATACTCTGTATCTTAACAAAAACATATGGTAAGGACAATGGGAAATAAAATCAAATAGAACCCCTCTCTAGTCCTCTGACTCATGGGTGTGTTGCCAGGCATCGCCAAACTGTACCAGCAACTGTCCTTCCTGAGAGCTGGTAAGCCTCTGGTCACAGGGTGTTCCCTAGACATCATTTGGCCCCTGTGTTTAACAGCAAGGACAAGTTTCACTGTATACTTACGAGACAGGCTTTGAGGCTAGATGCCTGGTTTCTATTGACTGGTTATTTTAAGCCTTGGTTTTCTTCATCTAAAATTAAAAGCTATTCTTATCCTGTTGCTGATTACTGTTTTGTCAATTTGACCCAAGCTGGAGCTATTTGGGAACATCTGTGGGCAAGCCTTAGGGCATGAATGACTGATGTGGGTGGGCTCATCCTAGTGTGGGCAGTGCCAACCATGGATAGGTGACACTGAGCGGTCATAGAAAGCAGGCTGAGAAAGCCATGGGGGGGGGCAAGCCAGTAAGAAGTATTCGTCCATGGTCTCTGCTTCAGTTTCTGCTACCAGGTCCCTGCCCTGTCTTCCTTCGAAGATGAACTGTGATGTGGACATGTAAGAGAAATAAACCCTTCCTTTCCTTGTGTTTTTTGTCATGGCAGTTTAACTCCACAATAGAAACCCTAACTAAGATAGACTGAAAGGGTTTATGGATATTTAATGAAATAACAGGAAATAGGCTCTGTACCATGCTAGGGACAGGTCTCCAAGCTGAAAACCAATATATACCAACTTAATACAGAAAACGTCTACCTGCAAACACGCCGAGGATGCACACAGGTCCTCAAGTATGTAACTATCTCTTCAATGAGGTCTGCTGAGAGGACAAGACAACAGATAGGACTGCGATTTCTTGATTATATGATGGATGAAGTTACTCAAAATGGCATCTAATCATTTCTTCCTCCTGCCTATATGTAGACACAATAGGTGCTGGAGATGTGGCTCAGTGGTAGAATGCTTGCCTACTATGTGCAAGACCCTGGATTAGATCCCAGCACTAGGGAAAAAATATAAAACATGAGAAATTTTATCATTATCATAATGTATTTTATTCTAATTTTTTAGATTTTTAAATTTTATGTGTTTAAATGCTTTTTTTAGATATGTGTGTGTGTGGTGCTCATGGGAGTCAGAAGAGGAACTCAGATTCTCTAGAACTGAAGTTCTGCATGACTGATCCACTATTTGGATTCTGGGATCCAAACTTGGGTACCCAGCAAAAGCAACAAGTGCTCTTTGCCACCGATCCATCTCCCAAGCCTGCCATGATATATTTTAAAGATACAAAATTTTGAGACTATTTTTCAACATTACTTTCCAAATAAATTTTTATAGGCTCATGCTCCTTAATTTTTACAGATGCCTCATGACCTGACTGGAAGCTTATAAAATGTCACAATAAGCTCAATTCTTAACATTATACAGATCTATCCCATGCCCATTCTGTGTGTATGACATATATGACTGCAAGTACATGCATGCCATAGCTTACACATGCCATGGTGCCCCTCTGGAAGTGAGAGGGAAACTTTGGGAGTCAGTCCCTGACCTTGCACCTTGCTTGAGGCAGCCTCTCTTGCTGCTGTGATTTATCCTCCAGGCACGTTACTCAGGAGCTTCCAGGGGATTCTCCTGTCTCTGCCTACCCCCTCGCTGTAGGAATGCTAGGACTGTGAATCAGAATCACTGTGAGGACTTTGACATGGGTTCTGGGGACCTGAACTTGGATTGTTTTACTTGCATAGCAAATGCTTTTACAACCACTGAGCCATCTCTCCAGCCTCCATATGTCCACCTTATCAACTCCCATATTCTGTTTTAAAAGTTTAGTCTCTATGCTTGAAAATGAAGAAATTACTAGCTTATCCCCAAAACAATGATCAGGTGAAACAAGACTCTCTATGAGATAAAGTGAAGACTGTCCATCCACCGACAGAAACACTGCTGTCATCCACAGCACTCAGATTGGAGAGAAACCTGTTGTCCCACTTGACAATGCAGCCACCCAGATCAGAATGCAGCATGAGAACTAGAGGGTAAAAAGCAAAACATTTTGTTCAATGTTTCATCATTTTAGTTGGTCATGGCATTCAAGTAAGTCCCTTCTCCAAGCTTAGACATAAAGTATATTGTTCAAAATCTTCATCTACAAAAGTGCCATTAAAGATTCTGTCTAGATAGAAACGGGCACAAAAGCTCAGTTAACAAAGTACTTCTTTATCCTTTGTCTCAGATCTGTGGGAAAATTCTTCTGCAAACAGCCTGATTTTGTGCTCTAGCCTGTTTGCCTCACGCACCCATTTACAGTTCAAGCCAAGTCGCCTGTGACAAAATCTGTATCTGTATCATTAGCTTCATTACTTAATATTTGTTTCTTGTCTCATAGTTGGTCATCCTCAAATTGCTTTTTATAATATATGGTACAATCAAAATAATCTTGGGAGCTTGTGGGCAACTATAGCTTTATTCATTGTGGATTCACTGAAAGGCCGTCACCATTGTGGACAGCCATCTTCAGTCTCCTATCTTACAACTTCATGTCTTAGGTGCTCATACATCCTTGAATGGCGTTATCAGGTGCTTCTAACTCTGCACCAGTGCGGCACAGGAAGTGACTTCATTCATTCTACATTCTTAGGACAAGAGACCAACTGAAGACAGGGGTGGTGGTGCAAACCTACAATCTCAGCACTCAGGAGACTAGGACAGGAGGACTCTTTTTTTTTTTTTTTTTTTTTTTTTTTTTTTTTTTTTTTTTTTTTTTTTTTGGCTTTTCGAGACAGGGTTCCTCTGTGGCTTTGGAGCCTGTCCTGGAACTAGCTCTGTAGACCAGGCTGGTCTCAAACTCACAGAGATCCGCCTGCCTCTGCCTCCCGAGTGCTGGGATTAAAGGCGTGCGCCACCATCACCTGGCTGGACAGGAGGACTCTGAAGTTCCAGGCCAGCCTGGGTTAAATAGGGAGACTCAGCTTGACAAAAACAACCAAGTAAACAAATAAGCACCAATGTCATAGGGTATCTATAGACAGCAATTATTCTCCACCAGGGTACAAGGGGAAAAACAAGATCACCTGACAGCGGACTCACAACAGTTATCTTAAACTTCTCAAGGAAACAATGTAAACTAAGATTCCAACTGAAACCTGTTAACATCAGTGAGATAATTATTTCTTTATTGTCTCTCAATCCAAAATCCATATTCCTCAGCCATGCTGGGTGCGGGGGCAGAGAACTGAGGAAAATATGAGAAAGAAGTTTTCTCCTATTTGAGACTTCAGGAGTTTTGTGTGAAGGATGGTCAGTGACTTCCACTAGCCTATGAACTTCACTGGCACTCCAGTCCAGGCTTGCCAACATTTCCACTGACATCACCTAACTTCACCATCATCCAGTGGTCTGAACTTCAACTCTGGGGAAGGAGGCCTCTCCAAGTCTGTTATTTCACTGAGTTTCCTTTCCCTCAGCTCTAAGGGGCAGATGCTCAGTACAACTCCAATTCCCATATTCTTGAGCATTGCCATCCCCAGTTAGTTAGTTAGTGGAAGGTCCTAGTGTGGAATAGTCTATTTCCCGACTAGACCATGAATAACTAAGTGGACAGACTCTAGAGAATGCCCTTGTACTGGCTATCCTTAACATTTCGTCTGAAAAGAGAAGCCCGTGAGCGAGCCAGGAAAAGCAAAGCCCTGTGGCGCTCCTGCAAGCTCCAAGTCTGCTTGCACGACGACAGCAGTGTGATGGAGCAGAAGCTTTGTCCACTGGTACTGACCTGTACTCCCAGGCTTATCAGCCCAAAGAAACCTGACTGTCAGTGTCCCATGAGTGAAGCGATGGGCCTGAGACACAGAACCTGAGAAGCTTCCTAGTAGAGAATCCACTGGACTTGTAGAGCCTGAGGCATGAACAGAAGTGCAAATAGTAGTGAACTACTTACTAACCCACTAGTGGAAGAAATTGCTCAAGTCTCCCGACTGAGCAAGAGCAAGAACATATCAAGAAAGACTGCACTTAGTAGTTTTACTACAACCTTGTTTTCTCAACACACTTGCATGCAGCATATGTCATACAGAGAAACAACTTATTAATTGATGTTTAGGATCTGAACAATTAACACAGGACTTCCTTTTATTTCTTATCTTCTACTTAGAGAAAAAGCAAAACACAAAGGCAATTTGGCTCAAAGAAAACTCTCTAAAGTAAACCACATTAGGTAATTCCCTTATTTCTTCTTTATTAACGGAAGTGGGTCCTGACTTGTGAGTACATGTGGAACTGGCACAGGGAAACAACTGCCCATCAGTGTACCCTCACTGTGCTGGGACCCTACTCATTTCCACGACTCGCTGCAGCATGGAGACCCATTTCAAACCACACAGACAAAGAAAGAGTAACCTCAAATTCCTAGAATATCAAAGCAGAAAATTGACTCCAATAAAAAGTGTACTGGCACAACAAAGAGGAAAATATAATTTTAAAAATTTGATTTTTTCAAAGATTTGTTGTGTCTGAGTGGAGAGAGGAGGCAATATCTTCCACATCTCCTCTTACACAGGAATGGACTCCATTCCACTTGGTGATCTGATTACCTCCCAAGTCCCCTATCTCCAAATATCACATTGACAGTGTCAACATTATTTTTATAAGATATAAATGTTCAGCCTATAATGTAAGAATTATTTTATAGGGGGCTGGAGAGATGGCTCATCAGCTAAGAGCACTAGCTGCTCTAGCTGCTCATCCACAGGACCCGGGTTCAATTCCCAGCACCCACATGGCAGCTCACAGCTGTCTGTTTAACTCCAGTTCCAGGGGATATGACTCCCTCACACAGACTTGCATGTGGGCAAGACACAAGTGAATGTAAAATTAAAAAATAAATAAATCTTAAAAATATTTTTAAAAGGAATTTTGGTAGGTGACTCAAAAAGCAAAATCAAAAAAAAAAAAGTTTGAACAGAGGTATCCCTTGTGGTTGTATAAAGCTGCTCCCAGAAGGTGGTTATTAAGTGAATATTCTAGTGACAGGAGTGAAATATTGTCCTACAAGCTGATAGCCAGGGAGGCCCCTAAGGCCCTCCAACAACACAGATAACTGCCACTGCTCTTGATTGGCTACTAGAACAGTTGGTAAGACCCTAGTGCTGAAGCTACTCTAGGTCTTGATCTCGGAACATGGAGAAATCAAGCTAGAACTGGAGTGGCTAGTCCTCCTAGCACTGGAAGGTACTGTGCAGGCTGCTGGAGAGAATTGTCATTAGCGTCTTAGTCTTCCTCAGCTGGAGACTGTGTGCAATAATACTACGGTAGTTAGGGTTTCTATTGCTGTGATGAAACGCCATGGCCAAAAAGCAAGTTAGGAGGATAGGGTTTATTTGGCTTATATTTCCACATCACATTCCATCACTGAAGGAAGTCAGGAAAGGACAGGAATTCAAACAGGGCAGGATTCTGGAGGCAGGCACTGATGCAAAGGCCATAGAGGGGTACTGCTTATTGGCTTGGTTCAGCCTCCTTTCTTATAGAACCCAGGTATAGTCCCACCCACAATGGGATGGGCCCCCTTCTTTCAGTCATTAATTAAGAAATGCCTTACAAATAGATCTTATGAAGGCATTTTCTCAATTAAGGTTCCCTCCTTTCAAATTCCATTTGGCCAGGCAAGTAGATTTCAGCGGTGCAATAGTGGCAAAGCTGTTATGGGTATAACCAACAGCTTTCTGACTGGATTTGATGACCATTCCATAGGAGGGAATTCATACTTAGTACTTTAAATCCAGTCAAAAGCCAGTGGCTAGGAAGGCTAGGAAGGCTACAGCCACCATCACAGAAGCCATTGCTGTTGGTCTGCTAACTAGACGTGCTGTGCCTGTTAAACTGCCTTAAAGTAACCACGTTTATCTCCACAGAACAGTGTTGCTGTCAGTGTTGGTGAGAGATGCTTCTTTTTGCAATGGCCAGCTGTAACCGCAGAGATGAATAAATTGTCAAAGTACAGAGAGTTAAATGACTGCTGAATGCCAGCCATAAGTGGGGCACTTACAACATCCACCCAAAACTGAGGGAAAACCAAGAAGGAAGATATAGAAAGAATGTAAGGGGCAAAGGAAGTGGAGCAGTGTGGAATGCTGACCCACACACATGACATAGTAGTTGTATGCACAGCAGATGTGACTATCTGTGCAAGATCTCCAAGAGACTGGGTCTCTCAACACCCTGCAAGGGGAGGGGAATGAATGTATATGGCCCCACCCTCTTTGAGGATTTATTTGCCAATAAACTGAAGATTGGAGGGACATTTTCTTCAGTTGTGCACATGCTTCTGTAAACAAACTCCTACCAATGTTCCTATTAACTAGGTTTAGTCAGGTTTCTTTAGAGTAATAATGAAAACACACAGTGGATCTATTAACAGCAGTTTGTAGACTAGTCCAGCAAGTCCAACAGTGGCTGTCTCCAGACAGAAAGGTCAAGAATACAGTATATTATTCAGTACAAAAGGCTGGATGACTTAGTTGATCTTTAGTGTATGCTGGAATCCTGAAGAAGTAGGTTCTAACACCAGCGAAGGAATGAATGCCTCAGCAGCAGGACTGCAAGGGCGAGGGCAGGCAGGCAAGAATCAAAAGCTTCTTTCTTCCATGTCTGTTTCTGAAGCCTGCCACAGAGGATGCCCAGACTAAGGTTTCTGACTTCAAACAATCCAGATCTAGGATGTTTTCCCACCCCAAGGATTCAATCAATAAAAATTATTCAGAGGCATGCCCAGCTACTTTGGGTTTTAGCTGATTCCTGACTTAGTCAAGCTGACACCCAAGGTAAGCCATCATAAGCCCTAATGATATTCCTAGTTATCTCTAAGCGTGACTTTTCTAATTTGGTAAGGTGAAATTATACAGAGAAATCTTGTCTTGAAAAACAAAAACAAAACAAATATATTTGTGTGTGTGTTCTCAGCATGACTTGATATAAGATTCCTAAGATTGTCTTTTAGTTCTTTAAGACAATTACAAGTTCTACTTTATAGGTTAAGATTTACATATAATAACAATTTTATTAACAATATTTTATACCTAATTATATTTAAGGAAGTTTTGTTATTTTATGTTTTTAAAATATTTAAGACTGGTGGGAGGAGACAAGAAGAGATAAAGAGATGGTACTTGCTGCTCTTGGTACTTGCTGCTCTTTCAGAGAACCTGGATTTGGTTCCTAGCATCTACATGGTGGTTTACAAACATCTCTTAACTGTAGTTCCTGGGGATCTGATGGCCTCTTCTGACCTCTGAGGGTACCAGGCATACACATGGCACACACACACATTCATGCAGGCAAATGCATATGTGTATGTGTGTGCACGTGTTCACTGTCATCAGTGAAATATTAGGTAATAATGCTTGCTATGCAACCCTGATGACCCGAGTTTGAGCTACGAAACCTGAGGGGAAAGAAAAGAGCCAACTCCCACAAGTTGTTCTCTGACCTTTATACATGTATCTTACGTATACACACACAAATAAAATTTAAAATTCAAGTAATGCTATAAAACCAAGAATACTTTTTAAATTATTTAATGTGTGTGTGTGTAAGTCAAAGGACAGCTCAAGGGAGTGGGCCACAGAGACTGAATTTAGGGTGCCGTTACTGGCAGCAAGTGTCCTTCCCTGCTAGCGTGTCTCACTGGCCCTAAAAGGAAGCACTATTGATCTAACATAAATTTGCTTCACTTGCTATCAGGGCCGGAGAGACGGTTTAGCAGTAGTAGGTTTGATTCCCAGGACTGACATCAAGGTTGAGACTTCTAATTCCAGTCCCAAGGGGAGTTGACCCCCTCTTCAGGCCTCAACTGAGAAAATGCCCCACAAGACTGGCTTGTGGGAAAGCCTGTGGTGTATTTTATTGATTGACAGTTTACGTGGGAGGGCCCAACTCACTGTGGATAGTGCCACACCTGGGCTGATGGTCCTCGGCAAGAAAACAGGCTGAGCAGGCCATGAAAGGCAATCCAGTGAGCAGTGACCCTCTATGGCCTCTGTATCAGCTCCGGCCTCCAGGTTTCTATCTGGTTTCTCTCAGTGACTGATTTATAAGCAATAACATGAAATAAATCTCCTCCAACTTACTTTTGTTCACTGTATGCTATCACATCAACTGAAACCCTGACTCAGACAAACCCCACTCCCTTTAATTCTTAAATGCTGATGTAAAAGGCTTTAGAAGGTTCCTTAGAACTTTGGATGGCTGCTCACTTTAGCAGCCACCTATGGGTGTGGCTATGAGAGTTTCCAGGTTTCTATAGTAAATATACATTACTTTCAAATTTTGTTTGCTTTTGCTTTTTTTTTTTTTTTTTTTTTTTTTTTTTTTTTTTT